GTCTAATCATCAGGATCGTCCCCCAACAAACGGAAATCAAATCCGAGTTTATTTGACTAAGATATTGCCAAAACAAAAATTACCATAAACGGCAAAAACGCATAATTGAGGGCCTAAACGATGGAATTTGCCCAAAATTTGATGTGTTTCAGGGCCAAAGGCCTTGAGTTGTGATTATTGGTCAGTTTGCACTCAAATTAGACTAGCAATTCGTCAAAAACGAACAAACCCGAAATTAAATTGAATTATCATTTTGCCTTCATCAGATTGCCAAAACGACACCATTTTCATTAGCCTTCAAATATCAGTTGCAGCCGTTATTTCCTTCTTCTTTTCTTCTTCTGATGCTCTGCTTCTTTTGGCTCCACTTCCATGGATTCTCATGTCCCTCGTAACATCCCTCCCCCTTGGACCAATCTTGATCCCAAAGTTCATATGCAACTTCCCCATTTCTCTGAATAACCTTATAAGGCTTGTAATACTTTGCTACCAATTTCTTATTCACCCTTTTACATGGGAGGACACGGAAGTTTAAAGTTACGGGCAAAGGAATTTGAAGAAATTTTATAATCGAAAATTTACGTTCAAAAAATATCATACCTTATGTGATTTTGCGTCGGAAAATTTACATGGGATATGACTTTTTCAGATGCAAAATTTCGAAAAAAAAATTATCATATTTCATATAAAATTTCCTAATAAAATGATGAAAATTATATCGAGAAATTTGTATTACAAAAATAATAAATAATAATGAGATAATTGAATTTTTTTAAAGAAAANAATTTCATAATAAAATAATAAAAATTACAAAAAAAAATTTGTATTACAAAAATAATAAATGTAAATGAAATAATTGAATTTTTTTTAAAGAAAATGGAGTTAAACGCCTTTCTTTAAAACTCATGTTTAAAGCATTTTTAACTATTTTCAATGTCTATTTGGATTATTTGATATGCCTATAATATAGTTATCGAAATAAGTTTTGAGATGGCATATCAATTTGCAGATTCAATTAGCGTACGATTGTCGAATAATTTTTAAAGCTATCATATTATCGAAAATTTTGACTAATTTTGAACGGCTTATTTTGACAAGTCGTATCATTTGCTACGATTGATCGTTTCGGACACTATTAATGACATAGAAAACTAGATCGTGAATACTTCGAAATGGTATTAAGAATGCAATATTTCGTCCTTATTTGATGGAGAGTTAAGATTTTGTTAAAGGCGAGAGAAAAAGAGAAAAATTAAAATTTATTATGATTTTACCTCTATTTGATGGAGATTAAAATTAATTTTTTAGTAAATCTTGATAAAAGTTAAATAGTTATGAATTTCATGAAATATGTTATTAAAATTAATTGTTAACTTTAATTTAGATTAAAATTTATCTTTCAATCGATAC